TAGCCTCGAAGATGAGCTCCGAAGTGGTGGGCCTATAGTAATCCAGGATGTGTATTTGAGGACCCTGCTAGAGACTGACGCACCACAAACGATGTGTGGTATGGCTTAAGAACGATTGACAGAAATTGTCACGTTTCGAGCTCTGCTCTTTTTTGTTTTTGCGTAACTAAAACGATACATTTGTAAAAGCTTTTATTTAACTTGACTTGAATTTATGTTTGTTTGTGAAGGTGGAATCTTCCAAGTTGAATTTGACCCACTTCCTGTTGTCCGATTGAGCTAAAATTTCACATACTGGTACAGTCCCAATTACAATGCATGTTCACGATATGCAACACTGTCAGGTTCGCCTCAGGGCACCTGGGCGAACCCTATTGTATATTAGCTCTTACCCTTCTAAACGAAGCTCTGGAAGGGTTGACGGAAATGAGGCACATAGAATAATAATGGTCTAACTCCAATAATTTGAAAATTGGCGCCAGTCATCTAAAGAGTATCACTCTACCTTGATCTGTCATTATATAGGTGGTCTAACTCCATACTCCAGTTTCTGGTCAATAGATGGCACTATCTTACTCTTATTGTATTCAGAATAATACTGGAACAGCTTTGGAGTTAGACCATTATTACGTGCAATAACCGGACGTTGCAGAACGTTTTGTATGTTTATGACTCTGGGTCTGAATATATACCCAGCGAAAGCGGAGAATCTTCTGGTAAGTCTAATTTTCATAATTTAACTCAATTTTGAGTTAATTATGGAAACATAACTTAAGATAAGTATAAAAACTGTCAATCCAATTTTAATGCATGTTTTTGGTATTATAGATTTGACGTTGTTGAGCAGGACCCCCAGCCATCCACAAGTATGGGAAAATATCTCAAATAATACATATTTTACAGGTTTTAAAATATTTACAGGTGGCCTTGCAAAAATCAAAAGCAAAAAACGATCGAGGAACGAGAAAAATTGGAAAATTAATACAAAAAATACTGAGAATTACTGGAAAAGAGTACATTTCTAAAATAGGGTTAAAAATAAACGCAAAACAATTCGAAAACATTGACTGCAACTGCAGAAAGAAGTGTATTGATTTATTTTCATTTACCGAAAGACAAAACGCGTTTGAATCATTTTGGAGGCTTAGCGATTATGTGGCGCAAAATAGTTACATTTTTGGTTTAGTAAGCTTCACCTGTAAATAGAAAACGCCCAAAAAATGGATCTCGTTTAGGAAAGCATACCCATTTTCAATACGTGCTGAAAACTAATAATAAAACACATAGAGTTTGCAAGAAATATTTTCTTGATACATTTAAAATAAGTAACGGCCGTCTGCACAGATGCATTTCGAAACGAGAAGCCTCAGATTGCAAAGAGCTAAGAGGTACTACAGGCTTTAGAAAGTTGGACGATTCTGATATTGTGAGGCATATAAAAACATTTCCGGCTCATCAAAGCCATTAGTCTAGAATTAAAAATCCAAATAGAAAGTATTTAAACAGCGGTCTAACTGTAAAGAAGATGTATGATCTATATGTAGAGGAATGTCAAACCCACAATATTGAACCAAAAAAATTGGAGTACTATTATCAGGTATTCAATACCAAATTAAATTTGCATTTTAAACTTCCTCAAGACATCTGCAAGTTGTGCGATGATCTAGAGTTAAAACTAAAAGGTGCCGACAACGAAGTTATCAAAAAAAATATTTCAGCTCAAAAGGAGTTGTATTTACGGAAAGCAGAATCGGCGAGAGAGTCTTTATGAAACGATTCAAAGAAAGCTGCAGAAGCATACATAGTATTTGATTTACAAAAGGCTTTGCCTTTTCCTAAGCTTACAACGTATGTGGCTTACTACAAAAGAAATCTGTATTTGTATAATCTGGGAATACATTCCTTCAACAGCAATACTGGTTACATGTATTGTTGGGTTGGCGCGGTTCTCAACACATTGCAACTTGTTTAGTAAAGCATTTAAAGCTTTATGCTGAGAATCATAAACATGTCATTGCTTATTCAGATTCTTGTACAGGTCAGAATCGGAATATAAAGATGAGTTTATCTCTGCTAAAACTTGTACAAGATCCAGAAGTTGAAATCAACGTCATAGATCTTAAATTTTTCGTATCTGGACATTCTTTTCTTCCTAACGATTGCGAATTTGGTATAATAGAGTCTGAAAGCAGACGCCATGGCATGATTTATCATTCAGATGAGTGGATAGATATAATTAATAACTCCAAACGAAAGGCACAAGTTTGTAGTATCTGAAATTCAACATTAAGAGTTTTCAAGCACGAAAAATTTAGAAAATTTGATTACCAATAGGAAAACTACTACGAATGGATATCACTTTAGCTGGTTTATCACACAAGAAGAACTGTGACAGTTGCAAAGAAGAAAGACATGATGGACCTGCTGCCCTACATACCACCCCTACACCATAATTTTTATAAAAACTTGCCCACTGAGACAGTCACCCGAGGTTCTGCTCAACAAAACGTGGAAGATAGATCTTCTGACGATGAAATGATTTATGATTAGACCAACTTAAACAAAATAGTTCAGATTTATAGTGGTCTAAGTCCACATTTTTTGTTGGCCTCCTAGTTTTAAGGTGTTTTTTTTTTTGCAAAAATTCTCGATGTGTTATAAAACCTACTTATGTTTTACTGTATTGGTTAAGAATAAACATTCACGTTATGTTAAAAAATTTTGTTGAATTTTTTATTCGAATTTTTATAATCAGCCTAATTATTAGACATTTACTTGTTTGGAGTTAGAACATTATTATTCTATGTGCCTCATATTTCTTCGGTTCTCGTAGGAACACTATGGGAAATAAAAAAACAACAACACAAAGAAGAAAAAGAAGGTTAGAGAAAAAGAAGTAAAGATGGGATTCGCCTGATTCAACCAAAGTTTGTGACATTTCCAGCGAAATACAGTACGACACCGCTGAACGCAGAATGTTGTCAATAGTACTATGCTGTGCTTGCACAGTGCGTAAAATACAGGATAGTAAGATTGACCACGCCGTTGTGTATTTGGGCCCAAAGTTGTTCGCTGCTGGCCAAGCGTACGTGGTCTTAAGTAGGGTCACATCAATAGAAGGTCTCCTCATAGAAGAATCAGACTGCTCGAAATTAACTGGCACCAGCTCGTGTAACAATGACGCACTGAGTTAAATTAATAGACTAAGAAAATATATCTAGCGGAAACTGAGAAATATAAAATAAATTTAAATGAAAACTTAAAAAAAAGGTTTCAGTCAAGCCCTAAAAAGATAAAATTAGGAATTAAATTACTTTAAACTCATTCATTTTACAATTATTTACAAAATTTTATTTTAAATAAGATTTACATTCAATTGTAATAACTGCCATTGCGACAGTAACGAAAAATTTAAATTTATTCACCCGGTTTTTCGGTATCAATACTTTTCCAACAGATTAATTCAGTTTATAATTGTTGAACGTTGGCGGCATCATAAAGGATATTTACGTTCAGGATAGACTAAACAAAGGAATACAGTTGATGAGTTATAATACTGGGAACGCGAAAATGCAATCTAGGAGTTTTTGTAAATTAGCTTAATCGACTCCAAGTCCGACCATATTTGAATAGGCGTGCCTGAAAATTTATTTACAATAAGAACTGACTAATGAAAAAGAAGATATAGGTCTTTCTTGACTAGGAAGGGTTATGCAAAAATTCGGGAATAATGATATCAGACCAATCAGGGGACGGTAGAAGAGAGGAATGTTAGGGACACATTTGGGGACTTGGGAATACTAATTGAGAAGTGAAAATTGGAAGACATTGGCCAAAGATAGTTGCAGTCGACAGGAGCGAAAGAGAATTGCGATCGGGACAGTTCCGCGGTTTGAACCAAGAAGTTAATTGGAATAAGGGGGAAATTGATATAGTGAAGGAGGAAATTGATATAGTGTAATTACGATAAATTACAGTCAGTGAGTTAACTGTTGTTTTCCTTTTGGCGACACTTAGAACAGATCAGTATTTCACACGGATACCGTACCAGAAAGGGAGACCAGAACCCAGTGTAGTATCGTGAGTCAATCTAGATTTTTTACTAACCCCCATGTTGGTTTATAGAGACAATGTCATTTTAATTTTGAAATATTTGTCTTATTGTTTTTGTGTCTTGGGGACAATATAAGAAAGCTAATAAAGTACACCATATATATCCCTTTTGATATGCGTAAATGTCATAACATTCGTACACACAGGTTTGTAGCCAAAAAATAGTACGCCGGCCAGGCAAGTTCAAATAATCACTTCAGAATTTCCGCCAAACCTAAATAATCTAATTGAGGTTTTGTGTAAATTGTCATTCTACCTTATGAGAGAATATATAACATTTTACAAGTTGATAATGAAATAATTTTTGTTTTGAGAATCAGCTATTATATGCGATTTCTTGTAAAATTTTGATTTTATCTTTCGAACATTTTTGTTTATTGTTTTACTTTCATGTTATACTTTTAAAGCGTTAGTTGTTACATACTTGTTTATTCTTTTTATTTGTCTTTTTAATATAAGCCTAATCTGAATCTTCTTTTTGTTTTTGATGGCTCATTAATTGAGCAAGTCCCGCACCATTTCAGGATAGTTGAAAGGCCTTTAGCCAAAAGTATTAGCCTCCTGCCTCATTCCGGAGTAGAACATAGAGGGGAAACAATCTCAAAAAGGTACACGGTGTAGTTAGGTTTCAAAAAGACTGACCTTCGTGCAATCAGCACGAATGCGACAGCTTTTTCAGACCTGCCTTTATATTCAAAATATGATGAAGAGAAACTATGTATTCGTTTGAAAATGTTTTTATACGATTAAACTGCAGTAACGTTAGCTACAAATACAAGGGGCAAAAAAACAAAGTTTTATTTCTCATTTTTCATGAACTACTACCACGTACTAAAGGCTACATCCAACTTCGAATATGGGGAAAAATTAACTGACAATATTAGTAATTCAAACAATGTATACTTTATTATTGAAAGAACAAATTTTTATTAACAAATGTACAGGTCAGTTGTTTTGAGAAGACTTTTTCTTCCAAATGTATTTGTAGGATTCCTATATTTTTTGTATAAAGATGGAGAAGTAAGTATAAAGCCAAACCCTGTTGTTCCCAAAAATTAATCTCTCTGAAAAATTTAACACTTTTAGTTCGATCCGTTTTATGTTTTATACTTTCATAATTCAAGTATAATTATTTAGTTATAATGTACTTGCTATTGAATAATTGTAAACGGTACTGTTTTCGAAGACTTCATTAGAAATGGTTTTTCTCAGTATATGTTCTGCATAAAACAAGCATTATGAATGTGTTTTTCATGAGTTTTCAAATTACTACTTCGATTAAATGACTTCAAGCAGATTTTACACTGAAATGGCTTTTCACCAGTATGGGTTCTTTCATGAGATTTCAAATTACCACTCTGTAAAAATGACTTTGAGCAGATTTTACACTGAAATGATTTTTTTCCAGTATGAGTTCTTTCATGTTTTTTCAAACTACTACTTTGAGTGAATGACTTCGAACAGATTTTACACTGAAATGGCTTTTCACCAGTATGGGTTCTTTCATGTGATTTCAAATTAGCACTGTGAAGAAATGACTTCGAGCAGATTTTACACTGAAATGATTTTTTTCCTGTATGAGTTTTTTCATGTGTTTTCAAATTACTACTTTGAGTGAATAACTTCAAGCAGATTTTACACTGAAATGGTGTTTCACCAGTATGGGTTCTTTCATGTGATTTCAAATGAGCACTCTGAAAAAATAACTTCAAGCAGATTTTACACTGAAATGGCTTTTCACCAGTATGTGTTCTTTCATGTGTTTTCAAATTAGCACTCTGAAAAAATGACTTCAAGCATATTTTACACTGAAATGATTTTTTTCCAGTATGAGTTCTTTCATGTGTTTTCAAACTACTATTTTGAATAAATGACTTCAAGCAGATTTTGCACTGATAAGGTTTCACAATATGATCTTTTGTAGTGCCAAACTCCTTTTGACATAACACTGATGACTTCTCATCTTTGAAGCTCTCTTCTTTCTTCTCGATGACTGTTTCATCCTCTATTTTAACAATAACATACCCCAAATCTGTGAAAAAATTACAAATTTATACAAAATTATTTGTTTGAAAATAATATTCATTTTTAACTGTCGATTTTACTCCCAAAAAGGAGGAACCTGTTGGGTCTACTATCCAAATAGATTATAACCACTAATGAGTTTGTGAAACAAAGTTATTGATTGTTCTGTAATGTGTCTGGAAACGACCATAAATTTATATAAATCAAATTTTTTTCAACTTTTCATGAAATGAGGAAATGTATATTTATATACACAAAATATTTACTGATCATAAAGATTCCAATATATAATTAAACAAACTTTTTAATCCAAATAATCAAACAAATTAATAATATATCAAAGTATATTTATTCATAATATTTTTTCTTTCTTGAGGTTTCATGAATGAAAAATTGGAAATCTAAAAATTAATTGTAAAAAAATTCAAGGGGAAATGAATGATTTCCACTGAGGAGATTTTTTGTAACATATTTTTGACTATTTTGATGGATAGGTAGAATTGGAATTTCTGGCATAAAATCAATCTAATGAAAGCCTTTTTCACATATTATGTAATGAAATAACTACTTTTCTTTAGATATCAACTGTTTGTTGAAAATGAGAAAGATACTCCAAGTTTCTTTCCTTGTAATTCTTCTATTATCACTACGCTTAATATATTTTTCTTACATTGACCCTTTTGACATATATCAACCAACATGAAACACTTATTTTTCAAGAATCTTATAACTACTTACAGAATACATAATATAAAGGTTTTAAGAGAACTTATGTCATGGAAAATTGCTATTCTCAACATTATAACTAAAGCATTATAACTCACGGTGTGTGTTTTGCTAAACAAGTTAGCATCATCAGGAAATGTTTGAATCTGAATCTGTCAACAATGTTAGAACCTTTTATACAACTGGATGTACCATATACATCAAATTTAGAACTGGAGTCACCGAGCTGATCAATAGTTGTATCTTCCTCAAAGGAATGCAGATCAGAGGAAGATACCTTTGTAGATATTCTACTATTTTTCAATACACAAGTATAAATAACAGAGAGAATATGAGGTCTATTAAAAAAATAAGGTGAATGTTCAATTTTGCAGGCTGCATACATTCGAACAACGATATTTTTTTATAGAGGAATCAAAAACCATAAAAGTTACAGGAGTGTTCATTCCAGAGTGGATATCATAGTAACCAAAACTCAGCAATCAAATTGAATATAGGATGAAGAAGATAACTTTTGCCTGATTTCTACCAAGTTTTTAATTTCTTACCACTGGTTTCACTTTGTTAAACAATTCTCAAGTAAATTCAGTTTGCTATATTCTACTACTTCTATATTCTCAGTACCTATAACATGAATTTCTACAAAATAAATAGGTCAGCAATCGAACATGATTGGAAAATTATTGAATGCAAAAAAACCTTCATCAAACTACAGTACCTGTGGTGTTTTTTGAATCATGAGTCATATCTTCATCCTGTACATAAAGGAACTTATTTTGAGGGCCTTCACCTATTTCTTCTACACATTTTTCTGATTTGGGTTCATGGTAAACATCCATGACACTTTCATTTTTAATCTGATCTATATCATATTTTTCTTCCAGGTTATGAGTACCCATTTCGATACCAAACATAGATTCAGGGACCATTTCAGTTTCACTTGTTTCACATTTCATGATATTTGTTTCCAAAACCATTTCATTCCCAACAGATTCAAGCTCTCTCTTAATAATTCTTCCATAATCATCAGTAGTCATTTTTGAACATGAACAAAGAGGATTTGTTTTCAACGACGAATTCTTTGTTTTAATTCTCTCTCTCTCTGTTTGGTTGGCCCTTGCTTCCGAGGAGGCGCATTTGGCCAGTTCTCCTTCTGTTACACGTCACTTATGTAACAATAGCTTCGTCCGGGGTTGTAGTTGTCCTGCTTTATGCAGACTGCTTCCTTATTGTGTCACTTTCTTCTTCTTTTGGTCTCTTTGTTATTTTTTGCTTTGTCTTTTGTCTGTTGTAGTCGGTGTAGGTTTGTTAGTATTTTCACATATCACAGATAGAAATTTAGACGAAAGACACATACAAGGGTGAATGATACAAGGGTTTGTCTTTAAACGATACAATTACCTTTTGTTTCTTTTATACTTCAATTTGATTGTGTACCATAAATTGTGTTATGTCCTTAATAATTTTTAAATTTAAATTCCTAAGTACTGTAAACATATCGAACAGTGCTTGTATTCCGTTGTTAATAAATTTTTGATATAAATCTTGTCCGGGGATACTGTTGATTGGGCATTCTAAAAAGATATGATTTATTGTCTTTATTTGTCCGCATTCACAGTTTGAACTATCACTGACCCCTATGCGATATAAATGTTGTTTACAACTGCAGTGTCCTGTTCTCATTCTAATGATACTTGTTATGTGTCTTCTGTCCATATTTGGTATTTTTGGTGTACCATGGTTTTGTTGGATAGTCAGGTTGGACCCTAAAATACATTTTTCCTTTGTTTTGAATTTCATGTTTCCATTGTGTGTAAAATGATGTATTCATTATTTGTTTCATGTGGGGTCTAAAGTTTTTTTTATCTATTTTAATATCCAGCGGAATGTTAAGGTGTTGTTTTAATTCAATTAGCCTTTTTCCTGAGAATAGTACAGCAAACGTGTCACGAGAGGCAGCACTAGTAGTAGGGACAAACAATAAACTATTCACATGTAAAACAGTTTTATTTACGTAATATCAATTTATTATTTGAAAATATAAATCTGATTATTTTGTGCTAGTATAATGCCAAAAAAGCATTGCTGTTCGAATTGTACGTCGGATAATCGATATCCGGAAGAAAACGTGTTTTTTATACAATTTATAAAACCTCATAATAATGAGGTTAGATGCAAAAAATGGATACATGCTTCGAGGTAAATTTTTCATAGTTAATTACCATTGATTAGAATGAGATATAACCTCAATCATTCATTAAATTATACTCATTATATTTGATTAAATTTATTTCATTACCATCTATATTTGATTCATATTTCACTCGGAAATAAGTCTGAAATTCATAATTATTTTAAATTTCTTTTATTACAGTTTGAATCTACCGCTCCTCGTTTACTAAAGTCCGTATACTAATTTTTTTCCAGTTACTTTTAAATTACGGCATGCAAGACAACGTTTTAATGTTACAAAATTCTCATCATTTACAGTTGCAAATTTTAGTTTTGCTCCAGAAACATTTTCTTCTGTTAAAAATATTCTTTTTTAATTGTACTTTACCATATGTTTATATGACGATTAGGTAGTGTTTATCCCTACCGAACTACTAGCGCTGCTAGTGAGTGACATTTCGTACTTCAGGAAAAAGGTTCATTTTGTCCAACGATTATGGATATACGTCCATACGTCCATAATCGTTGCATTTTGTCAATACTTTGTGAAGAGCTCTCTTCTCTTGTCTAAAGTGAAGAGAAATTATGTCATTCTACTTCTTCTTTTCTTGTTTAGTTGTAGGTAGCACAAACAAAATTGTTGTCTCGGATAAGAAGCACCCCTGGATGGATAATCTCAAATATGTTGTTTTCTGCATGTTTTATTATTCATATACATATTTTATTTGAATTTTTGAAAATTACTCAGTTAATAAAAGAAAATTATTTTGAATAATAAATCAGTGTCAAAATGTCAAAGTCGAATAGAAGAAGAAAACGTTGTAAATTCATTACACACCGCCATAGGTGCGTTTTATTCCAGATCTGTCACTTCCTGCCCAATAAAAATACATCGAGGAGAAGTTGTGTTTTGTTGACACTCAGATTAAGTAATTTCCTCCAAAAGTTATTCGTTATCTATGCTCGATGTATTTAGATCTAATAGAGAATTGAAGGGGTTATATTTTTAGGAGTGATTAATTTTTTGGGAAAGAAAGTTTTTTGGCTTTCTAATAGAGAGAGCAAATAACTTTTGGCGGAAATGATAGTAAGGACGCGCAGACTGGTCACATAATTTCATTTATTGTTTCTTAGAAATTCTGACTTTGAAAGTTTCTGCAGATAGTATTAGTAACGAAAAAATTTGAAGTTCCTGCACGTCGTCTTAATTTCTAACAAGTTGGAGCCTAGCTCCCTTGCCCTTTGGACTGATAATTTGAAGTTCCGTTGATAATGAGTAATGAAATACAAATTGCTATCGCATCTGCTGTCAATAAAAGTAATTTTCTCTGAATTTTGAAGCAAGTTTTTTTAAATCAACCGTTGATCGATACATCGGTAGACCGTTCGCAAATTCGTCGATTACTCCGGTGATTAGTTTATAAATTAGAAATTTCGACTTTATTTCGACTCCATTCTAGAAATTTCAAATTGGAACTAAAAATATTTCATATAGGAATAAAATACGTATTGAAATATAATATTTCATCGATAATAATAAAAAAAACTCAATAAGTATTGAAATATGACATTTCATCAACAATAATAATAATAATAATAATAATAATACTCTCGAATCTTAAAATCATACCGGTCTGCCGCACTAAGGCAGAAATCTCAGCCGGACAGATGCAGAAGGCTGTCATTCTTGGCTCACTGCGCTTGCTCAGGGCACATGATTTTCGGACCCAATGCTCACTTTCCTCACGGTGTGGGGAGGGGTCGTTGGTTGATAATGCTGGCGCGCCCTCCCGAATGTATCGGGGCTTCGGGGGATATGGCCTGATCAGCGCATACTTCGGTAAAAAAACTCAAGAACGTCTGGACCAATTTTTATGATTTTTGTGTTTTCGCATTTGTCTTCTTCGGAAATAGCATAATAAGTATTGAAATATGATATTTCATCATTAAAAAGAGTAATAATAATAAAAGATTTTAAGAACAAGTGGACCAATTTTCATGTTTTTTTTTTGCCTTTTTGGTTTGGTCTTCATAGGGAATAGAAAAATAAGTATTGGAAAATGAAATTTCATCAATAAAAATAATTATAATAATGGAAGAACTCAAGAACGGCTGGACCCATTTTTATGATTTTTGTTTTTTAATTTGTCTTTATCGGGAATAGAATAATGAGTGATAAAAATTATATTTCATCATTAAAAATAATAATAATGAAAGAGGCAAAACATCAGTGATAATAGTGACGTGTTATAATAAAACGCAACATGTATATCACAGGGTGCTTTACTGAAGAGAGCACTCTTACTTATCAATTCCCATTCATTTTGTTATTTACTAATACCATTTATTTCTTCATACTTAATAATTTTGTATCAATTTTAAATTCCTAAATTTGCTCATTCATTAACTGTCCGCTAGTATCTCAATATGAACTTCTAAAACATGGGATGTCCCAAGGATCAGTACTGGAGCCATTGCTATTCATTATATATAAATATTTCTAACTTCAAGCAGCCTCATAAATCAGTTATGTTTCCAGACGTCACCGCGTTTATCCTCTCAAGGAGTCAAAACGATGAATTCTCTAATGAAGTGAATGATATGGCAGAAAGTTTGTTCACAATGAATAATCTTAAATTAAATACGAATAAAACGCAAAATTTGCATTTTTCTGCGCTTACTGTGAATGATGACTTGAAAGAGGTAAAATTATTGAGAATATTTTTGGTAGTAACCTGACTTGAAACTGTCACACTAATCAGTAACTAGTACCCATATTCTAAAAACAACTTATTTTTCACTCTCCGATTAGCTATGGTGTAGTTCTCTGGGAGCTGCTGATATTTTTAAGATTCAAAAAAGGGACATACGAATCATTAGTCACTCTAATTACAGATAACATTGCCGACATCTATTCATAACAAAATCTCAAAAAATAGCCTGGAGTATACTTTGTATAATCGTCTTACCCTTGAGTTTGAAGTTCTTAGTAGATCCAAGTTTTGAAAAACAGTGAAAACTATCTTATGAAATATTCTTTTTACTGAGTCAATGAATATACTTCAACAACCTAATTTTGACATTAGTTCATTGGCTATTTCTTCTTCTTTTTTCATTTGTAGGTTGGTTGATATTTTGTATATTTTTCTGGCTGAAGGATATTTTAGATAGTTTTTAAAATGTTTGTGTTGTCTAATATTCAAAATGTTTGTATTTTCGAATATTTATGACTCATTTCGATTGTAAATGACTTGCTACCTCAGGGTAATAAAAGACAACAGAGAGGCTTTTTGCATCCTTACATTGAATGCAGCATAACTCTGTTGGTTAATGGGAAGTAAGTTGGACCATAAAACAATGGCGTTTGGTTTAGTTGATAATCGGAAGGATAGTATATATTTATAAAATAAATCATTTCGGGTGAAAATGTATTCTGTTCAAATACTTCCTACAGGAAATCTGATTTATTATTAATGGTTATGGAAATGAGGCCAGTTTTTCTACCACCTCCTAGATTTTTATTTATGTTTGGCATTATAATAAAGCGCGTGGTTTACTGGATTAAAATTAAATTATTTCATATGAACTAATTCATAAGAATGATAAATGTTGATTTCCAAAGTAATGAACTTTGCTTCATAAGATCAGATGAAGAAATTTGTGATTTATGCTCAGATTTGATAATCAAGCGGTACGGTTTGTGAGATCCGATATAAAAAATTTTGGATTAGAAATCATGATTTCATTCAAAATTGGTATCTAGGGGTCTTTGTGGATCGATATTATAAAAGGATATATTTTTGATGTTTTTAATTATCATTCTTTTTTATCTTATTCTTATAAATAAAGTTTTTGAAACTAGGTTTATATTATTCCATTATTTCACATATCCCAACCAATAAATGGTTGAAAAAAGGACAACCGTCATTTCTTGTTGAATATTGTCTGTATGCA